GTTATGTATATTTTATCAAAATTTTTTAAAGTATACAAGCCATAATACCCTCCTTATAAGCGGTAAGGCCCATGTTCTCATCCAGACGCAAACTTAAGAAATGCTCATTTCCCATTTCCCAGTGTGCCCTGCCCATGAAGGAGGAATGAGCTGAGGCAGGAAGCTGGTCGCAATATTAGTCCCACTAAATCAACAGAGAGAAGCCAAAGCACAATGTAAGTCCAGAGCGGCTGGCAGAGGCAGGCTAGGGGCGAGAAGGCAAAGAGCCGAGGCCGGAAAGGCAGAGCACAGCCACAAGAAAAAGGAAGCACAGACACAGGAGAGATCAGCAAAGGGAATTACCCCAAGATAAGGAGAGAGAAGGGAGCAGGGGAAAGGGAAAGGAGAACTGCAAGCGAGCAGAGGATTCATTCAAGAGCAGAGCCTGCTCAAGTGGGAGAAAGGTAGCTGCCTCCCACTGAGGTAGCCATTTGTATCTAAAGAAGCAAGAAAGCTGGTGAAGCCTATAAAAAGTTAAGAGAAAAAATATTGTCCTGTGACAGAATACTCAGAGGCCTCTATCCAGAGAACTACTGCCACTTTTTTCATTTGTTTTTGTTTTGTCTTTTACAAGAAGAGGTGGTGTTTAACAATAATTTCAATCTGGACCTAACCTTTTTATCTGTATCAAACACTGGCCTGCCAAGACTGAGTTAAAGATATTCTATGGCACAGGGGTTAAGAGTACAAGCTTGAAGCCAGATGGGCCTGAATTTGAATTCTGGCATTAGGACCTGAGGCAATCTGCATAAAAATTTGTCTCATCGCCAGACCTGCAAAATGGAAGATAACAATCCTTACCTCACGGGACTGCTGCAAGAGTCAAATAGGTTAAAATATGAAATCACTTAGAACAGTGCCTGGCCTACACTAATCACTATAAAAGTATTAGCTACTATGGCTATTAGTCACTATAAAGCTATTGTCCTCTGCATCTAGAACATAAGCTCCAAGAAAGTTGGGATCTTGTCTATTTGGTTCAATTCTGAAGCCCCAGAGGCCTGACATAACAAGTATTAGATGAATAATAAAAAGTTGTTGAATAATATAAACTTCATACCAGCAACACAGAAGCCCAAAGGAAGAGCACTACTGACAACTAAAATCTCTGTAACACTTTGGCTTCAAAGTTTAGAGTTCTAGAGGGATTTTACATACCTTAGCTCAAGTGATTTACTGGAGCTGCTATCTCCACCATACAGACCAGCTAAGACTCAGAGGACTTAGGTGATTGGCCCAAAAACAAAGACTGAGGCAGCATAGGAATCCTGGAAGTAAATCCTACTTCTGTTCACTCTGGACCCCACCCCGGAAAGCTTGAAACATTCCCTACCAAACTGTTCAACTCTCCTTACCTGCAAACACACAAAGTTTAAAGTCACCAGAACACTTTCTCCCAGTTGCTTCAATATAGTTGATGGGAAGGGAGAAACAGATGAAACAACATTAATAACCACTGAAGTTGGACAATGGGTCAGTGGGATTGACTGTAGTCTTTTTTCCACTTCTTGTCCAAAAGTTTCCATAATTAAAAAAATAATTAATAACAAGGACCTCACTTCCCGAACATAAACTCTCACTTCCAACTTTCTATTGAGCACACCTAGGTGTGAGGAAAACACCACAGCTGAGAACCTGCAGCACTTCTCAGTCTGAAGAAGGGAAAAGAGAGCTTTTCCAGGGAATCAGGAAGCTTGTCTCAGCTCTGCTTTAACCTCACCCATCTGTCTAACCCCTCTGAGCCCCAAACTTCCTCATCAGTTCCCTAAAGGATTAAAATTCTGATTTCAACTTTCTACTAGTTCCTTAATCTCAACACAAAACCCAGCTCATCTTTCTCTATTCTAAGACTCTGAGACCCGTTCTTCCTCCCATCTTCTCTATTCCTGATGCCCCATTCTGCCAGCCACCCAACCATAAAAACTTCATCATCTCTGACTTGAGACAGAACTGACTGTTCCCTTACCCTTCGAATCAGTCACCAAATCTTTCTGTTCAGCCTCCAAAATCTCTCTTGAACCCATCGCCTGCTTTCCATTCCAAGGCCACCACTTCAATCCAGGCTCTCATCACCCCTCACTTGGATTATTACCGTGAACCGAACTAAAGTCCCTGTGTCTAGTTTCTCCACACTACCAATCCATCACACTGACCCTCAGTCTGACATTTAAGATCCTCCAAAACCCAGTCCTGACCACTTGGCAGCCTCGCCTTCCACTATGTTCCTTTATCCTAGGGTCCAGGTAATTTGGATATGCAGGTTCTTGACACCCTCCACATTTCCAACACCACCCCAGCCTTTGCTCAAGCTGTCCTTCCCTCCGAAGGCTCTCTTCTGTCTGTGGCTTCTGATCGGCACAGTGGAACAATTTAAATGCCACCTCTTCAGTTGAAGTGTTCTTCCACGTCCCCAAGGGGGCAGTGTCACTCCCTCCACTTACCCCCTAAGCACTTTTGTCTGAACCCCTTTTATAGCACCCACCCAATTCCTATCAGTCCTTCCATTTCTGTGGTGCTCCTACTCTCCCTACTCGATGGCTCCTTCCTTGCCTGTGGGAATGTTTTATTCATCTTGTAACCCTCGGAACAGAGCTGCTGAAGGAGAGCGGTACATGTCACGAGCGAGTTAAAGGAGAGCGGTACACGCCACAAGTGAGTTAAAGATGTTCTAGTCCTCGACCCCCTCAGCCCTCCAGGCAACCACAAAAGGCCCTCAGCAGCGGGACTTCCCAACTGGCCAAACCTCAAGCATTCTCAAGCAGCCTCCTCTTTCAAGCAGGCAGACACCACGATGATAACCTGAGAAGCACTCAGAGGACACAGCAGCACGTGGTACACAGTGGATGCCCGATAAATATTTGCAAAATTGAATAAAATAGCCAAGAATATGAACAAACAATTCAACATGAAGAGATTCAAAGATAAAATTTTTTAAAAAAAGATAAAATTCAACATTATAGAAAAAAGAAATGCAAGTACCACTTTACACTATTAAATAAGCAAAGCTTTTAGGGGAAAAACGTACTTCTGTCCAGTTATCGTGAAACAGAAATATTCATGTATCTGTTAGTAATACAAACTGGTAAAATATTCTTGAAAAACAGTATGGCAAGCCATAAAACATTCATACTACGTCAACAATAATGTACTCAAAAGTTTATTCTAGAGATATAATTAGAAAAAATACAGTAATATCTACAATAATGTAGATTAAAGTATTAACGGAAAACCAGTCAGCAACATAAATACCTAACATAAAAAGATTTAGGTAAAGTATGACTTGATGAAATATTTTTCAGCCTTACAAAATGTAATCATGTAAGTTAAAATAGTGACACCTTTAACACGGAAATGTTTCATGATCTAGTAAGTAGAAAAAATTCCAAACTTTATGTATCAAAATCTAAAATCAGCAAAGTATATTTTAATGGAATGCCAAAGAGAAAAATCAACTACTTTAGTGTAACAACCGAAATTTTAACTATTTAATATCAACTTTTAAATTACCTCATAATTTAAGGAAGTTGCTCCACACTGAGGAAACAGCAGGGTTCCAGGATACAAGCTTGATACAGTCTCAAGGAGAGGCCCACCCGTCCCTTGTACTGCTCACTCTGGCCTGAGCCGAAAGCTCTCCTGCACTCCTTATCATGATGACCTATGATGACCCAGCCCCAGCGTTCGGAGGACCAACCAACCACCTCAACTGGCCTTCCAATTATCCCCAGGAACCTGTGGGGGATGAATCGTGCAAAACAAGCACATACTCAAGAAACAAAGAATCCCTACAACCAGGTATTATTTTAGCAATCAGCAAGTAGCCAAGCCCAAATTTAATGATAAATCCTAAAAGTATAGAGTACTGTCACATTAAAGTCTCTGGGATTCTCAAGGAACTTGCTGACTCGGGGGTGTTGAGTCACAATTAAAACGCAGCACGGACTCGTGTACCAATGAAAGAACTAGGGCTAAGAGACCCTGGTATAGTTAAAAAGGGGAGAAAATGTTATTTTAACTGCACAGAACAGAAAACTAAAAACTTCAGCTTAAAGGAAATGGGTAAAAAGTAGCTGGCAATGTCTTGCAAATCTTACCCAGCCAGAGTCCAAAAGGCAGGATGGCAAGTCATTTTGTTAACACATGAAGCTTTCTAGAGCTAGTGATGTCTAACAAAAGACTAGTATTGAAAATACATCAAAAAATCATTTTAGCACTGATGCCCCACAAGGACAATATTAAAACAGCCTTCTAAGTGTTTTTCTGTAGTATTACCATTTTCTAAGTTTGATAATGAAAGATCAAAGTATTATAATGGACCAAGAAGATAAATTACTGTGCAATAACAAGTATTTCTTTATTTAGCAGAGCATTTCAGCAAAAGATAAATAACTTGAAGGACTATTACAACCATTGTGTGAAGGGAACACAACAATTAGGAAAAAGGTTTAAACTTTTGTTTCTACTGATATGTTCTCAATATCTAGATCCTCAAAAAATGCAGATACATACAGTCATTCATAACAATATACACATAGCAGATAACAAGAAAAACAAACAATTCGATAGTTAACCAAGTTCATCAGAGCATAGGGTGATTACCACTCAAGAATGTTGACACACAAACTGAAGGACCTCTCCAGTTCCAATCATGCTGTTAGGTTGAGCCCCTGTGCAGTTACTCATTCAGAACTGAAGTGGAAGATTAACCTACCCTCACTTCTCTTCAAACAAACTGACAAAGCAGCAGGCAGTGTCTGCAGAGGCTGTTCGGCCTCATCCAGTCCATTCCAGAAGCAGCCATTTCACTCAGGACCCACATCTTCAGGTCACCACTCTCCCACCCTGTCCCACCTCATACTTTCTGGCCAAGAACTCTCATCTAGATGAAGTATCCCTTGTCTCTTTCTCACACATTACCAGGCCCCTATTTTCTAAATAAGGCTCTCCTAAATTGTACTCACCTGCAGTTCACTGCACTGGGTATCACCCAAATAGCCCATCAGAGCTCTTTATAATTTCTGAAAGAGAGAGAAGAGAGCTTTTAAATAAATAGAAAATACCATTGCTGATATATGAGTTCTGAAGCATTTGTATCCAGTATTCACAGCATATGGTCTTTTGGTCCACAGTATTTCAATAATATGTAGCATAACCAGCTAGGACCAAGAGTCCTGAGATAAGAGTCCAGAGATAAGTTTGGTTTAATGTTGCTACTACTTAGCTATGTGACCTTGGACAAGTCATCTGACTTCTCCAGGCCTAAAAGTCCCTGTCTAGAAAATACAGACAGACTAGACAGAAGTAGCAGAGCACATTACAGTGGGAAGAGCACGGGCTTTCCAAGGCAGAACACAGCACCACTACTTACCAGCCTCGTGACACTATAAGTTAGTTCATGGTTGGTCTAAATTTCCTCCTTTGCAAAACGTAAGTAACAACAATCATCTTGGAGTTGTTATAAGAATTAAAGGAGAGGTAATGAGTTATAAAAAGCCAATTGTAAGGAGACTGTGCAGCATATCATACAATTCCAGAGATGGTAATTATCACCATTACCTCAGGCCTAAAGTTAGACGCCTTCAATTCACAAATATTTCCTTAAAATATCCACAAATCAACAACTTTACTAATCTGACAATGGAATTACCTGTTGGAGTGTTTCACTAACAATTAAATTACAGTTATCTTCAAGTGATGGTAGTTTAAGATTATCAATATTACTTAGCATCACAAGAAATAAGAGTGGAATTGTCTCTGCACGACACCTGAACTGGTTCAGGGGCCATGCCTTCCCTACTTATCTGCTTTCCCTGCTACCAATACACCTCAGCAACAGAGAGATCTCCCAAAAGCCAAATGACACCAACTGTTTTCTATAGTCCGCTCAGGGGGACATGACTAAAGGTGGAGGAAGGAGAACAGAGGTTTCCCTTTTACTCGTTTTTACTTCACACACTTAAGTCCTGTTCAAATGTGCTTACCACAGCATGCATCAGTTTTGCATAAAAATAAATGAATAAAAATTAAAATTTTAAACTGTATTAGTTACACATATTGCCTACTGATAGGAAGCTCACCTTATAAGACTATTTTTCACAAGAACTTCCACAAAAGAGAGCAAAAAGGCAAATTCAGATGTGCCTAGAACACCTTAAACGGGGCACAAGAATAACAAAAATCACAAACGTTCACACTTCAGAATGGTTCAGTCAAAAAATATGCTGTGCACTCTCTGAAGAACCTATGGCAAATCAATCAGTTCTGGTTTTCTGTGTGTTTGTTTATTTTTGTTCAAAAGCAAGATGAATATACAAACTCTGGTTTTACAAAACAACTTGCTGCTCTTGGAAAAAACTGACCCAGAACAACAGACACAAGTAAACAAGTTGTTAGGACTGTCTGGTAGTATGTGGAAAAACTTTCAATTTGTTTTAAACAACTGATAGCTTTTACAAAATTATTACACACAGATTAAAAGTATTCATGTTACATCTACAATACTATTTTTTTAAAGTAACATTAAATCTATTAAATTCAGGATTACTCAAAAGTATTACCCAGGCACCCTTGAAGTGACAGACCACTGTGTTCTAAGCTCCTTCTAGCCAACGCTACAGAAATAATCCTGACTACACCCATCAATTTAAATGAATGTAGGGTGGCATGGCCACACTCTCCATATATGTCATAGTTCTCGCCTAGAAAACATTTCAAAATATTACTTAGAAATCAAATTATATTTGCATGTACACTTATCTACATTTATGAAAAATAAAGAACCAGCACAGTTTGCTGATAATTTTTAAGTAGCCTCTCCCCCTCTCTTGTGAGTTGATAAACTTGGCCCTAAATCTTCTATGCATTTGAAACAATAGCCAAAGGACCTTTATGTCTTGTGCTGGGCATGTATTTGGACCTTACATACAGTCTGAGAGACAATTATAGACTAATTTGCATTTAACATTAATACCAAGCCTACTTCTTAAACAGAAAACAAAAATGCATGTATAAGTCCTGGTCTACTTATTTGTAGGTCCCTCTGCAATTTATTCTTAGCCTTTCATGAACATGCTGTATATTTTTAAACTGCACAAGGCCCTTTGCAAGTAGGAATGATTTCTCCTGTTGTTGGCAATCACTCCCCTCTCCAGTAATATACTGGACACTCCATAAATGTATAAGGACTTTAAAACAATGCAGATTAAATATTTATGGTATCAGAAAATGAAACCTCTTGTTAACAATTGCAAAAGTTTACCAGCTGATAGAGAGGTACTTACTGGCTCCCAAAAACTATAGCCTTACCTAAAAATAGTGTCCTAGCTTCCCAGCCAAAAGGACAGACTAAAAAAGCTATGTCTTTATTGAGCTCAAAGACACAGACTTCTACTTCACCACAGCCTTCCATACTATGGTATTTCCCATTTTAAAAGACTGTGTGAAACAACTTGTTTGGTAGCCAACCACTAACTTCACTTTGAAGTGAATACTAACACTTCACATGGTCCACATGTGTGAAAATTGTGGAAAATGTCTTGACACAATTCAGGCCAAGCAGCACTAGCCACTCAAGATTACCTGTTTCTAAATATTAAATTTTAGACTACAAACAAGCATCTCCATAAGCCAAAAAGCAGATCACTGGTTCCTTTCCATAAAGTAACCGGCAAATTAAAAATAAAAGTAAAATAAAAAAGATCAAAGGTTCAGATTGGGAACTCTAAGGCAAGAACATGCCTCCATCTGTAAGCTGAAAATAAATAAATTTAAAAATCCACATTTGCTCTTCCAAGAATAAAAATAAATGTAATACACACAAGCACTGCTGAGTTTCAAACACAAGCAAATGTGGTATGTGCACTCACAAAAGGATCCTGGTTTATGTCCACCTTCCTTACCCAGTTTTGTTGTTGTTTTTTAAAGGCAAAATGTCAATTGTATGTCTCAATCTGGAAAAAAATAAAGCACAGCTTATTCTTCTTAAACAGATGTTGTGACAGATATGAGAAAGTCTGAGATGATTTCAAAATCCAAATGCTACCCAGATAATGTTAAAAACAAAACAAAAACAAAAACAAAAAAAAACCCTGCAGTAGCCAATCAATCTACCACAATAACTTAATTTACTCGATAAACCACAGTAAAATGTTTAAAGTCCAGAAAAATGCTTATAAAAAAATGTAAAATTAGTGAACTTTTCTCCCTTTCCTCAGTACTGAATACCACCGACCTTTTCCTAACACTACATCAATGTCCTTTACACCCAAAGCATTAGAAGTTTCATTAAATAAAGCAACACTCTGATTTCACACACCACATGTGAGCAGGAAATAATGACAAACCAGTCTTATCCCTAATAAGCTAAACAAAACTCAACACTGCTGTTTTTATTTCAAAACAGCTATGAGAGAGACAAGTACTATTCCATTTTTCAGAAAACAAAAGCAGGAGTGACTGACCTGCCTAAAATAATTCTCTTCAATGGAAAGGGTGTACTTTCCAAGAGTCCCACAAACTGTGGACACACAAAATCCACAGGCACAGCCACGGGCATTCCACGTAGAGTAAGTGATGCACACCAAAACACAGATCAAATTAAGGCATGCAATTAAAGTTACACAAGGAAATTTAAATAGGCAAACTATAATTACCCCTGGTGGAGATACTGATCAAGGATAGCTGCACATATTTGGCTCTGGGTAAGCTCCACTATGGCTGAGTACTGTTGGATTCCAGCCACTGAAAAGTTTGGTACATCTGACACATTTTTTTCTTTCTAAATCTAGCCCTGCCTATACACCCATCTGACTGAATGTTACTTGGAAAATAAAGACGGACCCATCAAATTACTGAGTCTCAGCCTCGGCCTTACGAGTTGATTAACATGAAGAAGGGGGAAAGGTAAACCATTTTTAACTGCAGTCTCACCTTAACACATCTCACCAGCACTGGAGTTCTTTAGTGATCAACTACTTCATCCGGTTCCTGAGGCAAACAGAAAAGTAAAATGTGTCTATACACCACCAGCCACACAGTCGGGATCAGCAGCAAACATTTTTATCGGCCTCGAGTGAAAGGGCATCTGAATTCCAAACGGAAAAAGTTACCAAAATGGTACCGTATGAAGCCTGCAAAGGAGTCTCACTTCAAAACAAAAATTCCTGTGTGATGGAGAGATTACAAAATGTTCTTTAAAATCCACAACATAAAAAGTCATCTCTTTCAGCACTGACCTTACTTTCAAAAAAAAAAAGAAGAAGAAGAAGAAGTAATGAAGGAGAAGAAACCCCATTAACAGGAGTTTAAGAGAGAGTAAAATTAACAACAAACTAGCCAGGACAGCTCCCCCTCCCCCGCCCCGCCCAGGAATCCACTGTCTCGGGAGTTACACATATTCTATTAATGATTTGCCTGAAAAGTGTAAGTCGTGAAGGGGAAGGAATAACAATTTTGAGTTTCAAACAAGCCCTGCGGAACCCAAACCCAGAAGAATCCGAAGACCCCGGCTCCCGGCCCTACCTGCGGGACCCTCAGCAAAGGGGAGGGCGCGGAAGCCTCAAACAATTTGGGCGGAGAGGAATCAAAGTCCCCAGATAAAACTGCAGTCCCCGAGCCCTAGACAAGGGGCGTCTTAAAGGAATCTCCAGGAAAGGACAGTCTGTTTTTATTTTTTGTGGATGTGCTGGTGGCCCAAAGAGAAATGCCGAGGAGGGGGCGGGGA